TCCGTCACGGCCCCCGTCCGAGTCGACCTCCGAGGAGGACGAGTCGACGGGCGGCACGTAATCGTCGCCGTCCGGAATCCGCAGGCTGTCGTCGTCCTCGTCGTCGTCGGGCATTTGAAGAGACGCTGATCGAGTGGTCCAGATGGCTCGGTAGTCTGTCTCAAGTCGATGTCAAGGGCGATAAACCGATGAGCAGCCGAAATGAGGTCTCCCCGTTAAGATCAAGTGCTTTTCGTACTGAACCGATAAGAACAGATACTACACATTGATCTTAGCCAAAGGCCAGAAGCGATACTGTACATCGAAAACTACAGTAAATACCACCTAGAGTACGCCTAGATACATAGCTAGAGGGTTGTGGCCAGCGAGACTCTATAGAACCCCCAACCGGGTCAGCCTAGCCGCCTCGGGTCTCCAATAGGAGCAGGGGTCTCTCGCCGTTTTTATGCCACTACCCTCTAAAAGGTCGTGCTCTATCGGCTCTAGCGCCAACTCAAACCATCAACCACATTCGATAGGTATCCGGGGTTATGCACACCCCTAGAGGGACCCCCAGTGGATATGGCAGCATTAATAGCCCATATAATTCCCGGCAAGGGTTCTGGGTTCTGGGACTGAAAGAGAGACACATCTGCCAGTTTTAAAATCTAAATTTAAAACGGTAAAAAATTTCATACAAAATGGTGGTTTTAATCGAAAAATGGAAATCGAGGTTTTGGGACCGAAAAACGGCATATCTAGCATATGTCAATTAACTGTTTTTCGCAAAGTCCTATTTGCCGTTTTATAGTGCATAATTTTTTTTATATTGATAATTTCAGTTCTATTATTCATGTGAAAAAGCGTAAAAGCAAAAAGCAAAAAAGGCGTTCCAGGAGAGGTCGAACTCGGGCCCCCCGCCTGGTAACACCTTAAAAAACAGTTTATTTTTAATTCACAATTCTTTTGTTTTTAGTTTTTTAGCGATTTGCGTTCATCGATATGTCCGGCAGAATTGATAGCAAAAAGCCCCGCTCTTGGCTGGGATCGAACCCGGGTGGCTGGACTAAAACACCTTGAAAATGTTGTTACTTCTTCACAGATTCACTTAATTTACATACCTAGACAGCAATACGTATTTCCCTGTTTCTCGCCTTGACCTATTTGATGTCGGACCAACCAAATATGCTCTCCTAGAGTTGGCGCTATTTCGATGCATCAATTGGCGCCAAAACACACAAGTGGCCCAGGGAGATAGGGACTACTGGGGGGGTTGCCACCCATCTGATATGCATCCAACAGATTGCATAAAGGGAATCTAGAAAAGTCAGAAAGCTTATGAAAGCGGGAGAGAGAGAGAGAGAGAGAGAGAGAGAGAGAGAGAGAGAGAGAGAGAGAGAGGAAGGTGAAAGGCGAGCGAGAGAGAGTGCGAAGGAGAGATAGAAGATCGATCAAAGCCTAAAAAATTTTAATAAATCAATAAGAATGAAAAACATAAAATCAACACTATACAGGTTTGGCTCATCGGTACTCGGTTGGATTTCTGCAAAGGACCAACTTGGCCCTGTCGCGGTTCTGCTGAATCGTCGACTAACCAATCACTATCACAATGGTTCAAATCATAAAATGTTTCAAAAATTTAATTCATTCAAATCCTGGCCGGTTCTAAAGACCATGCTTTTTAAAAGCTGTCTGCCATTAAAATTTTATGCCCGTTTGCGTGAGGTTAGAAAGGTAGCAATAACTGAATGAAAAAACGAAATCCGATATAAGGTATCAAAAACTAAAATGAACCCTCAAATTCTTGGTTGTTACACATAGCGACAGTTTGACTTCGGTAATAACTTCCGGGAAGACTACAGTAGCTAAGAAATCGCTCCAGCTCGAGCCAACACCTCAAACCCGATATAGAACCTTAAATTCGACGTCACGAAACAGACATGATGACATTTTCGCGCAGCGTTTCCTCTCTCCCACAAGGAAGCTTGAGCTTTGATCACCAGTACGGTATCCAGACCTAATATCTTTTCCCTGTTGCGATCAGCATCGAAACATTTCAGTGACCAATCGTTCATCACTGCAACACCGTATGACAGACCGTTCACCCACCGGCCCTTTTGCTCTGTGGTTTAGTCGTCGGAAAAAGTGGAGGAAATCGTCCGTGGTCCCAGGGTCTTTTTCTGGGGAACCCCTTCTGTCTGGACATGTTATCTTTGACGAAAGTGGCAACATATAAGGGAAGGCCTAGGGTTACGGGCATATACACCAAAAACACAACAAGCGATGGCTCCGCAAATCGAGGTCTTGACGGGCCGGAATATGGTAGGCTACGGAATTCATGTTAAGCTTTTCGATTTCAGGCGGCAAAATCTCCGGAAGATTTTGATCATATTCGATTCAGAGTTGGAAATGCTAAGCAGGTATGCGACCTTAAAATCAGGGATTTCTAAAGGTGATAAATAGGATTCTAAATAAGCCTATCACTGATTTTCAGGCGGCGTTTTGGTTCTGCGCCAGCTTTGGCTTCCAGCCATTCGCATACAAGGGCCTGGAAACTGGATGCAAAGAGCTGACAGCCCACGCTATCAAGACTGGAAAGGTATTGTTTTGAAATGGAAAGTAAGGTACTGTTTGACCCTCCAGATCATCCTTGTCTTCGAAGGCACAACCGTTCCTGACAATAAGAACTTTGGAGACTACCTGACCAAGCATGGAGATTCCGTTCAAGATGTTGCCTTTCAGGTTAGCATTTTGAAAATGATTAACGGAAATTATTAGGTCGACGACCTCGAGGTATTTCTGGAGTATGCACGGGCCAAGAAAACGAAGATTGTTCGTGAGATGACGGTGGAATCTGATGAATACGGGGTGGTGAAGTATGCGTCGATCCTCGCGGTGCGTTTTTAGCGTCCTTAAAGGGAACTACTGACGTAAAGTACCGTATGGAAGACAGTCTTTAGTTTGGTGACGTCATTCACACACTAATCGAACGCAAAAACTACCGCGGCCTCTTCTTGCCCGGATTCAGAGCGCATCATTGGGACGGACAGTGCTTTGACCACCTCCCAAAGGTATAGAAATTGTCAAGAATTGCCTAAGCCGACTTCTAGACTGATCTCAAAACCATCGATCACTTTGTCGGCGCCCAACCTAAGGATGAGATGGAATCGGTGGTCGATTGGTATGAGGAAAACCTTCTTTTCCATAGGTATAACTACTTTAGTCAATTAAAAATGAACCTTTAGGTATTGGACTGATGGACCCGAGATTGTAAATTCTGATAAGTCCGCCTTGACGGCAAAATTCCAAGCCAATGACAACTCGAAGATCCAGGCAGTGATTGCACGGGGAAACGAAGCGCAGGGAAAGGGAACAAATCAGATTCAGGTTGATTTTCAGGATTACTTTGAGGTATCTTTTAAGGAATTTGTCAATTTTAATGGCGGCCCCGGGGTCCAGCACATTGCCTTGAACACCGATGATTTGGTATCGACTGTTGAAGCTTTGAAAGCGCGGTACTGTACCGTTGAAGTCTAAACGTCCAACTTCAGTGGTGTCGAACTGCTCGACGTCCCCGATAAGTACTATGACGTCATCAGGGAAAAGCTGCGCAAAAGCAATTGTCCGGTAAGCTTGCGAACACTCTGAAAATCCCAGCGCAATCTTCAGATTGATGCCGATCTCGACAAACTACAAGAATTGAACATCTTCATCGATTTTGACGAGAAGGGATATATCCTCCAAAAATTCACCAAGCCACTCGATGATCGTCCTACACTCTTCTTCGAAGTCATCGAGAGACACAATTTCAAGGTATCAAAAAAATTGAAACAAGCTAAAATAATACTTTTCTTTCAGGGCTTCGGAGCCGGTAACTTTTTCGCAATCTTCGAGGCTATTGAACGGCAACAGATGGAAAGAAACACCTTTTATGGGGAGTCCAACTAAAGCCTTGTTTTCCAGCATTTTTGCGTTGATGTATTTTGATAGGTCGCCAAAAAATAAATAATTTATCCAAATTTAAGCCGAGCCTAACGGAACATCACGTCCCAAGAATATGATCTCCACAAAAACATGGTACCTTTAATGACTAAACAGCTAAATTGAAAATAAGAGATTTTTGCTTAATTTCTGATTGGCTGTATCAGTGGGGCTAGACAAGAATATAGAAAACCCAATTTAACAGAAAGGGACTCCGAAAGATATTCTAGGGTCTCAAAAATCATTGAGCCAATTTCCCCCCTTCGCCTATCCACTGAACCATCATTCGCAACTCGGTTAGACATCGTAAATCGTAAAACCCATTCAACCGCGTGACATCACCATATCCTATTGCTTTTTAGGAAGATTTATCGTTTCCAGCCCCAGTGTCGCGATATCCAAAATGTATCAAAAAATGTTTGTGGTTTTGTGGTTTCAAACCACAAAGTGGCCGGCGATCTCCGTATCCCAAAACCGACGATCCCAGTCAACGGAACAGACAGGTCGCCCCTAGAAAAATGCTCGGTTCCGCTGTTTGAACCAAACCATCGATCGGATCTGAATTTTTTTTCGTTTTCCCAAAATCTTTTCGGATTTTTCCGTTCGGATATTTGGTCTGGAACCGAAAAATTCCTGGGGTGACGAGTACATCCATCATCGAGAGAACAGAAGGTCTAAAAGCGTATGGTTCGAAATTGTGTGAAACTGTTGAGTAGGATCCCGAAATCCGAGACCACCGTTGTTATGTTCTAAGAATTGTATCCCGAATAGCCATCATTTTGTTTTGCACCGTGCCGACGTGCCATACGGCTTAAAAATGCTCTTTTCTTTAAGGCAAACCAAAAAAATTTCGTTGCGAGAACTTCAGAAAAGAATATGCATTCCCCCGAATTCTATCGTGCCTTCTCTTGTTAGTTTTGTTGGTTTTAAGATCAAGTTTTTAGAACCATGATGCTTATCTTCCTACCTTGGTTTTCGGTTTGTAAACGTGTCTTTCAAAACGTAAAGTTTATCTGGCCTATGTCATTACAAAAGTCTCAGTATCTCCTTTTCATGCATCGCACCGCTTCGTCGACCATACCCCGGAATTTCGCCCGGAAATTTAGCAGCCGCTGCTCCGCGTTGGGTCCTGAAAATCGAATATTAGATGAGTACTACAAAAAGGAAAGAACAGACTTACCCTTTCCTCTGATCTGCTCGTCAGTAACTAACAAAATGAAGGGCGGGAGCCAGATCAAGAATATGATAGGGAAGATACGTTCGTACTCGGCGATGAACTGAAAGAGCTAAACGTAGCAACGATCTAGCCTTTGCCTTGTTGGAAATTAAGCCAAAATCCACCTCATTTAGATCTTTCCAAGGCAACACTGCTTTATTTACTCCAGCAGCCACTTGATCATAAAACGCTTTCAAATAGAAATCCCGCCTAAAATCGTTTACCAAAAAACGTTGCGTAGAACTAACCGAGCCGCATATTCTTTTCCACTCAACCCTTTCGCTAGAAATCGCACCAAATCCTCACAAGGATTTCCGATATGGGCAAGCTAAATGTGCTTCCCATCGAGCGGCCCATTACAGTACTCACCTGCCAATCGACCACCAGCTTCACGTCCAAATTTCCATCTGCTCCTTTGGACCATAGAATATTTCCCGGCCACATATCACCATGAACAAGGAGGAGAGCCCGAACTAAACTTCAATTGATAACTTTAGGTAATTCTAGATTCACTATTTTTGGTCATCGTCTCCCCCAGCTTCTCGATCGTATCAAAACAATGAGTTACAGCTTTCAAAGATTGGATCTCTTCATATTTGTCTTTATATTTTTCAGCCATCGCACCGATGCCGCGCTCGATTTTCTGAAACGCCAATGACGAATAGCTTCCAATTACCGCTCTCGAAGCAAAATCCCCAAAATTAATCTCGAACGTCTGGTTCTCGGCCAATTTTCGCACGGCTTCCGGATTGTTCAGGGCTGCAAAAGCTCACATTTAGATACATAGGCCAGTAACTTACAAAAAACCGTCATCTCTGCCAAAACTTTCACGCCAGCTAGAGCGGAGCTTTCCTCCAAGTCTTCGTAGATGTGTACATTGTGAAAATCATCAATTTTCTCGACGATTAGATACCCTAGAGATATCAGATATTGAAATTTCTGTGATACCAACCTGCTGAAAGGCCATCCACCCCATAAGGTCGTCCAGAGACAAAGCGTGGAAGCGGAATTTCGGGCGTTTTGCCCAGATCAGTCATGGCTTGAAAGACTTGTAGCTCGGTGTCGTTCAGCTTCAATGAATCAGTTATTTCTATCAAATTTGAACCATTAATTATTTCAACAAGGCCATTTTCAAAGGCCTACAATTCCCGCTTGCAGCGCCGCGTCATCGTGAGGCGCCATTAGATATCGCATAGCTGTTGTATTTTTATCTTTGAAAACGATCTTCACAATGCCCTGACGGGGAAGCTTTTCTTGGTCATTCGTCCAGTCAAATGTGATTAGTGCGCACTTTGAGATGTATCCCTGCAAATTCGGATATTAAGGTACGCTGTATCACGATTAGAAAATTACGTTGTGATCTCCGAGGTGTACAGCTGAACGCTTCGGGCCGGTCTTGGCGGACGTCTTGTACTGAAGCTGTATATCATGTTCCACCATATCCCACGTGATTTCCGTGTCCACGATCGAATTTAGATCGGACATTGTAGTAGATTTTCGACGTTCCTACAAGAGTACTGTACTTGCGGACTCGATTTCAAACCAAAATTGCTTAAAGGGGCTACGAAGTGCCAAAAATTGAGTGACGGCCCGAAAATGGGAGCCCTGTACGTGGGAGGCCTCTGTACACCTAGGGGCGCGGGAAGCTCGCAAATTTGAAATGGCCTGTTGTCACCTCGAAATCACGTTCTCGGCTGTTTCTGGGCCAAATTTGATGATTAAAAAACCAAAACTATTTAAAATTGAGTGAGGATTTCAAAAATGGGCTCAGAATGCGCGAATTATAGTGTTTTCCCAAAGAAACCGGGCAAAAACAACTTCGCGCAAAAATCGAAATAGTGAGGGCTCTCGTCCCCAAGCGCCCGCTGGCAATTTGCCAGAAATCAAAGAGGCCTCCAAAAAGGGCTTTGATTTGGCAGTTCGGAGCCCCTTTAAGAACCACCGCTTAATTGCGTGCGAAAGCCAGTGGACTAAGAAGCACCGTTGCGCTTTTATATGCTGCCAACTGACCGGAGGTGGGCGTACCCGTTGGTGGGTTTGTCAAAAGAGTCTGGGTGATTGTATGTCTTCCATCAAATTTGCGACGGCTGCGTAGAATTTCATAAAATTGACGTGCCCTATGTAACCCTGGTACAGATTTATTGATGGGAGATTGATCGTGTGTGCGTTGCCCTTTGCGAATGTGATGCAGAGCCGCTAGGTTGCAATGGACTCCCCGACGTGCACGTTCAGGGAAACGCGGAGGCGGAAGAATTTTTGAACTGAACTGCTGAGGGCGATTAACGATAATAGATGTGAGAATAGGACGATGTCATTTGTCCACCAGTAGTGCCAACTGGCCCACGAGGCAAGAGCCGAATCTCCGACGTAGTAAGCGTATGCGCGGAGACCCGGGAAAAGTTATCGTTGGCTCTTGAGACGCACGAGCCACCTGTTCACCCGACATTGTAAAGCTAAAACAGAAGGTGACAATGGTTTGTAGGACGAGTTTCTTTTCGGAGCCTTTTCCAGGAGCTTTCTTGATGATACGGATTATAGAAACTGTATTCATCACGGCGCAGGCAAACGGCGCCGCAATAGTTACTATCATAGACACGAAATAGATTATCTGAATGTACAGTAATAGCTTGAAGGAATTACCGCGGAAAATGGAGGAACATTCCCTCTGGCCTCATAGGTGCCATCACCAAGCGGCACGACAAGTATTGGAATTGGAATACGGTAAGCCATACATGCAAATCCCATGATCCACCGCATAGTTTCCTATTTTTTTCCCAAAGCTACAGGTATCCTAATTTAAGTAGCTAATCGCTGACCCTTTCATGGAAACCAACATCCGCAATTAGGGCTGTGAAACGATTCATTGTCGCGATGAGCAGACTAAAATAGAAGCAATATTAGGTGATAGCCGAGAACAGGTTGCATAGACGGTAAGGCATCTAAAAAAATTTGTCTAGAGTTGTAAATTTTTTAATATGGTTTACCTCATCGGGACCAAAGGGATTCAGGTGTAGATGTCGTAGAATGGCGTTTGCTATGATCGAAACGATATCAGCGGTGACTACGATGTTGCGAATGTATCATTTGCTTTTTAAACTCGTCTTACCTCCGGACATGAATATTTTGAAAAACGCTGCCCGAAAGAGCTTATCTTTGCTTCTCAACATCATAGCAATAACAAACAACGAAATGATTACATACAAGATCTCGCAGACCAGTAGAAATATATTAAATGGGTCATACATTGGAGGCAGAATTTCTTATAAACGGACTTTCAGCCTTAATTCCTACTACTTTCTATGAGATTCGGAATTGCAGGTTAGACTATGGAAACCAGAGATGATTGTGAAAAACTGGCATCTCTAAAAATGCCTCCTAAAATCATATGTCCAAAACATTGTGCTCAAATGGATTTTTCACCAATTGGTAGTCTCTTTTGCGCCACACTATATACAACCCTTAAATTCGCGGGCTGGTCTACTTTTTACATGTGCCACTAGCAAATGAAAATGTTAGTTTTTGATACCTTTCGCAGTTGAAGCTGTTGTCAATTTTGTGCTAAAAGCAAAAAATTTATTCAACGCTATGAGTTTGTGTGGGATCATGGAAATTTTATTTAAGGCTTTATTGGGCTCGGATTAACGGTATCAGGATGATAAACAATCAATTCGCATTGAAGTACGTCTTAATCTTCTGGTGGCAATATGTGAAACGCGAATTTCAACTGGGTATCAGCAACAACTAACGATGAGAACTGGATCGAGTCTGGCTACGGCTGCCACTGCGCGAATCCGAAGAAGTGCCGCCGGCCGAAATTGATCCCAACATATGGACGCGGATCGAAACGCGGAGTCGGAAGAATTTGCGAACAGATTTGCTCAGGGCAATTAAGGAAAATAGATGCGAAAATAGGACGACGTCATTCACCCACCAGTATTGCCAACTGGCCCACGAGGCCAGAGCGTTGTCCCCAATGTGGTAGGAGTAGGAGCGGATGGCCTTAATTAAAGGATATGAATATTATTTTATCCTAAGCCTTAAGCCTAGGCCCTAAGCCTAAACCTAAGCTTAAGCTCAAATTATCTTGGTTATCCAATATCCTTGGTTATCCAATTTCTATTTGCGCCACGCCAATCACCATTAAGACGTACAAAAAACCCAATACTGGGAATACGCAACAAAATCTAATATTCCCCCAAGGGGGAAGTTCATACTCAGAATCCATTCAAAATTCAATTTTATGAAAACAAAAGAAGTACAGGAATGGCTGAATGGAACAAAATCTGGTGAGTCAACGCGAGATCTATTTTCATAAGATGATTTCTCTCGTTACGTGCAAAAACCAACCTGTTCCGCCGACATGAGAAAGCTGAACACAAAGGTGACAACGGTTTGCATAACGAGCTTCTTTTCGGAGCCTTTTCCGGGAGCTTTCTTGATGATACGGATTATAAGGATCGTATTCATGACCGCACAAGCCGTTGACACGACAATAACCACGGTCATCCCAACAAAATGAGCTATCTGAAATTTCGCACGGTTCTTTTTGAATTAATGAAAGTCGTGAAAACCAAGAAAATAATTTACAGTGGAATAAGGAAGTATATTCCCACGGGCTTGATATCCTCCTTCTTCTAACGGCACGACAAGGATTGGGATCGGTATACGATAAGCCATACATGCAAACGCCAGCAGCCAGGGTGTGCCGGCGGCAAACGCACCGATTTTGTTCCACAACTAGAAACTGATTTTTCGAAGATGCGGTATCGCGCTATGATACCTTCTTATGAAACGCAGGGTCCGAAACTAAAGCCGTCAAACGATTAATTGTTGCTATTAATAGACTAAAATAAAAGCAGTAGTAGGTGATTGCTGAGAATAGATTGCATAATCGGTATGGCATCTAAACAGGTTTTTTCAATCTTCAACTTGTCTACCTCATCTGGGCCAAAATGGTTGAGATGTAAATGTCGCAGAACCGCATTCGCGATGATGGAAATGACATCAGCAGTGACTACAAAAACACAGATACCTTTTTTGAAGCTTTGCTTTCTTATACTTTTCATAGAGCAAGTAATTTTCCCAAACGGTTTTGATTAAAAACGAAAATAACTACTTACCGCCAGCGATAAATATCTTGAAAAATGCCGTCCGAAAAAGCTTGTCTTTGCTCTTCAACATCATAGCGACTACAAATAGTGCGATAACGCAGTAAATTATCTCGCAAACCAATAGAAATATATTAAACGGGTCATACATGGCTGTGGAAGCAACGCGAGGCCTGTGGTGAATCTGTTGTCAGCCCGAGTCGAGTTGTATGACTTTCGGAAATGGTCTAATTAACGCTAAAATGGGCGTGAATACTCTGGGCGCAGGTGTGATTAGCAGCCCCAGAGGGATTTGCCGTTATTGGAGTTCCAATTTGTCGCCAGACATGAGCGTTAATTTTTTTCTGAAATCAACTAATGAGCAAAATTATTTCGCTCGTAATAACGGGTTTTAAGGGCTATCGATGGCTTTGAAAACAGTTCAAAGTTCCGACGGTAAACTACCGGTCAGAGAAGGCCTCTAAAACGCCACTGTTTTCAGACTTTCCAGGCCCTCAACTCCAGCTAAAAAGTCTGCCTCCAGCAATGTACTTCCGCGTTCGGCTTATCACTTTTTGCATGCATGAAGACCGATTTGGATCTCACCTTTTATGCAACTTGTCGCTAATAAACAAGCTATGGGGGGAGGCAAGCTCTTTTTCCCTTTCTCAAGTCGTGTTTAGAGGATGACGGCCTGCACCGTCTTGAGAACTTCCGGACAAAATCTTATGGGATAGTCAGGGAAGCGGTGCGATGCGTGGGGTCGCGATAATAGACGATACGTAACCAAAAAATTAAGATTAACCATATATCGTTTAATTTTTCGTTGCCCCAACCTACATTGTTCGTGGTTTTGAAGCTGACGAGTTTTTTTTGACATTCTGCTCTCGCAATTCTACTTCCTGCCAGCTGCTAGGTTTTTGCTGAATATGACAACAATAAGTCAGGTATTTTCCATACACACGACCGTTTTCTTCCTCCTTCACGAGTCAAAGGCAAACATCATTTATTTTTCTCTCCCCGCCTATTTAATTGTATGCCAACACTATTTATTAAATTTTTTACACTTTACCTACTCATTGTCGCTACCCTTTCTGCCATATGTTGTTCATATCGGCCGTTTTCTAGTCTTTTCTTTCTAGTTATTTTTCCAGTCTTCTAACTTTCAGCCGGAACAAATTAAAGTGCGCCCATCCATCAACCCACGTATGTTAGTTCCTTTGCCAATTTCCTGTGCGGCGATTTCAATCATGGGAAATCGGGAGTGATCCCGGCTACCCGAAATGAGAGAACCAACACAAACTATAGGGTGGGGCACTGCTCGATCGGTGCGATGGAACCGTATCCGGTAGATCTTCAAAAATCTCACTTTCGGCTCGCGCGGGGGTCGATGGCGCGCCCCAGCACCGGACTGGTGTTTTGGATTTGGGATGCGATCGCGATTTTTTGCCTTATTGTTTTTATGTTTGTTAAATAAAGTTTCATTCGAGAAATTCAGCTCTTCTCAAATTTGTGTAATGATATTTCCGGCCTTGCTTATGGTAGTGGCGGCCTAGTATAGTGTTGATCTCCAGAAAATGGTAGCCCACTCTGACCCCGACGCTATTGTCGAAACCCTGATCACATGGGATATGGTAGAACAGGATGCCCAACGCCAATACAAGACTACCGCTAAAACGGGACCTAAACGCTCGGCCGTCCACCTTGGAGACCAAAACGTGAGCGAAAATTTTGCCATGTATCCACCTTGTTAAGGGCTACGTTTCAAAATGCGCCCTAGTTACCTTTGATTGGACTGAAGAGCAGGATCGACTACCTCGGGAAGGAGTGATGAAGATCGTTTTTCGGGACAAAATTCAGAAGCTCTCCGATATGGCGAATGGCGCCTATGATAATGCCGCGGATCAGGCCAGGACGGTCGGAACTGTTATACAATTTTGCAAAGCCCGCCTTTTAGCTAAACGACACCGAGTTACAATTTTACAAAGAAATGGCGGAGCTCGATGAAAAGCCAGATATTCCACTGCCGCGATTTGTTTGCGGCAGACCGTATGGGATCGATGGGCTACCTGCAGGTCTGCCATAGCGAGCAAACACTTTTCCTTCTCAGGTTACTTAATCGTCGAAAAAGTTAACGATTTCCACAACATCCACATATACCAAGATCTGGAAGAGGTCTCGGCTTTGGCTGGTCTTGAAGTTATGTCAAATATGGCAGCCTATTGTAGGGTTTTCTTAAAAAAAATACCCATTTATTCATTTCAGCCCTTGAACACCCTGAAAATGCTCGAAAATTAGCTGAAAATCGTACCTTTGAAACACATTTTGGCGATTTTTCTACTTCATGGGTAAGTTTCGGAAAGCCTCTCTAAGCTCTATGTAGAAAGTCGAACGGGGAATTGACAACATGGGAAAACGGTTCCCGGATAAAGCCGAACAGCTTCAAGAGCTTAAGAAAGTATCCAAATATTTTGCGACGATCGAAACATTAGTGGAAACGATGTTGCAAAACAGTACGTTACTATGCACGGCCAAATTCGTCATAGCAATTTTTAGCCAAATTACCAATGCTCGTCCACGGCGATCTTTGGCCTGGCAATATCTTGTGGAGAAAAGAGGAAAATGGCGACTACTTGGTGAAATTGGTGGTGGATTGGCAGGTGGAAAACGCTGTGCATTTCTGTTGAAACGTATTACCTTTTAGATTGCCCACATCGGCAACCCTTGCGAAGATTTGGTCCGCTTTCTATCCAAGGGGCTGGGTGGAAAGGAATATGCTACCAGGTGGGGGTTCTAAACCAAAAAACGCTTTATTTAGGCGTGATTTCTATTTGGAAGCTTTTTATAATGGTGTGGTTCGGCAGGTGCAGGGCAAGCAACTGTTGCCTTGGAAAAGCCTTGCAGAGGTATTGTTAAGACGCAACACAGGCACCGCTAATGGCTTAGCTCAATTTGAGGACACTTAATCATTGTTTCCTAACAATGCTACTAATTATTAGTATATCGCTTTTTCAGGTTATGCAACATTTCAATTACGATACTTTCAAAATAGTCAGAGTTATAGAAACTTGCTATGAATATACCGGCAATTCCTGGTGGCGCCCTTTTGAATTGACTTGTACGAAATTTAACATCTTAATTATTTTTGTACTACTTTCTTGGGACTAAAACCTTTCCTATTGGCCTCTTGTCTCGCCAAGGCCGTGGCGAGCCACTCCGGGCATTGGAGAGGGTGGCCCCTCCTCGGCGCTCTCTGGTCCCCAATTTCTCACATACCCCGCCGACCGCCCTCTCCCCAGTGCTTCCGTAGCGCAGTAGGCAGCGCGTCAGTCTCATAATCTGAAGGTCGTGAGTTCGAGCCTCACCGGGAGCAATTCTTTTGCTTTTTGCCCATAAATCCCGCTGTGGATAGGGCTGTATAAGAAATCTTATTAAGTTGTTTTGCAGTTTATTGCTGAGTATGAGCGCATCTTCCCACTGGTCTTCCTCGTTTGGTTCCCGCCGTTTATCCAACTGGTTTCTGATGAACAAATAATGGGCACAGGTAATTTCGAAAGGTGTTTTGGTATGGTTTTTACAGGAGAGGATGCGGCCCAACGACTTGAAACCTTTCGAGTTAAATTCCGCGGGTTGGTGGACGAAGCCATTCGATGCGTGGAGAAGAGATACTAATTTATGTTATAAAAAGCCTTTTCTGTGCCAATAAATGTGTATTTTACCTTTTTTAACACCTTCTGCTCATCGAGAAACCTCGCAAATTTAACATGCCCACTCTTCATAGCACGGCTCTTGGGGTAGAAAAAAATTATGCAAAGCCGATTGTCCTACCCAGCGACAAAGGTGTGGTCATTTTTGGCTGCATTGCTTGACCGCAGTACGGTTTCACGAGCTTCAACATCGCTCAAGATGGACGTGCCTCAAAAAAGTTAGTTTTTTAAATGCTAGAGTGAGACCAATCTCTTATAAAGACAATACTAGCCCCGTATCGGGATCGAGTCGGCGGAAAAATGCTGTTCTGGACGGCCGGTGGCTTTGCGTTCATGTTATTTGTGATTGTCCTTCTATTCAATTCTCTTGCGCGAGACTCGTGCCCTCATTTTGCGCCGCGACCAGTTCCTGAAGAAGAGCATCTCATTCCATTTGGTATGGCTCATTTGCAAAATCTAAAAAAATCGTTTAGCCGGTGTGCAAGATGAAATCGATGAGGATAATATCAAAGTGAACCTTTCTTATTTCGTAGGTTTTCCTTTTAGAAATATCTGCGCTTGTTCACCAAAACGCCTCACATGGCCGGGACCAAGAACCAAAAAGAGCTGGCAGACACAGTTGAGGATCTGTGGAAGAAATTTGGTGTTGAAGGTCGTTCTTGACACCCCCTTGACTCTATATTTTTTAGATGTTCGCCAAGTTGAATATGAAGTTCTGCTGACCTACCCGAAATGGGAGAAACCTAATAAGGTAAACTTAGTGCTAAAGTGACTGAAGGATTTTAGCTTTATATCAAATCCGGGAGGAAAACCGTTTACCAAACAAGCGGCATTGCGCCGGCTTTGATTGAAAAGGAGCAGGATGACAAGTGTATGATTTTTATACCTAACAAAAATCTTTGAAGCATCCGTTCCTGGAAATCGCGCGTTTTTTAGTCGGCGGCTACCAATTTCTGGCATGGTCTGCGGTCGGAAATGCTTCTGGTCAAGTTGTGTTCTGTAACCGAGGTTTCATAGCCGATTTTGAGAAGTTGGAGGAGCTCGGGTATTCTGTGAAGGTTTGTACTGATTTTCACCTTAGTGCTATAAGGTGATTTTAGGGAAAAATCGCCCTAATCCGTTATGGACAACTCTATCGCGGAGATAAGGTCTATAACGCTCAAAAATATGGCGCTATCGGAGTGCTTCTCTACTCCGATCCGGCCGATGTGGCGAAGGAGGGCACAAAGCCAGGTTGCCCCAAAAATATACAACTTACCAAAATTACTAGAAAACCTCTACCCCCATAAAATCTGGATGCCGGAAAATGATGTGCAACGCGGCATGATAGGGCATCATATGAATGGCGACCCATTGACCCCGCTCTACCCGGCAAAGCCTGGCATCTACAAGTCGAAAACCATTGAACAAGTTGCTTGAAACCAACAAACCATAGATCATTTCCTTTCAGCTCAAAAAATCCGCGAACGTCCCGAGTATCCCGGCGCTACCAATCCCTTACGCCGCCGCGTACGAAATTTTGGCTCGGATGAGTGGTCCGAAGGTTCCGAGGGGATGGAGGGTAACATTGCATGTTACAAGGGTGCCACGACATTTGCGGCCCGACCATTTGCGGCCCGACACTTTTGCGGCCCGACATTTGCGGACGCGACAGTTGCGGCCCGACACTTGCGGCCCGTCACTTGCGCCCGACAGTTGCGGCCCGACATTTGCGGCCCGACACTTGCGTCCGACATTTGCGGCTCGACAATTGCGGCCCAAAGCTGTAGTTAATTACCCAAAACTGAGGCTTTTAATCGTCCGGAGGGTTAGTTTTCTGTACGGGGTTTGATCGCTTGTCCCCTATTCTTGACCTAAAAATAAGGCTTCGTGCCACCCGGGGCCTAGTCGCTTCGGATGGGTGCGAGCTCTTACAGGGTTTCGAAATCGGGGCGCCCGGGGCGCGCGTAGCGGCCAGGCGCCCCGATTTCGAAAGAGTGGAGCGGCAGCCCATCCGAAGCGACGGCCCGCCTTGCCTGACAATGCTTTAGACTCTTACTAACCCTCTTTTTAATTTTTTGTTGGGGAAAACGAGCTTAACGGGCTGCCGACGGCATGTGTCAATCCCCCCTCATCAACAAATTGGCAAGTAGCCAACAGGGGAGAGAGCGCGCCCAGGGGAGAGGCGCAGAGACATTTTCTTTTCCGGGCGTAATCGATTGTGTATGCCGTCGGCATCCCTTTAATAGGACGGGCCGGAAATGTCGGGCGCAAGTGTCGGGCCGCAAATGTCGGGCCGCATCTGTCGGGCCGCAAGTGTCGGGCCGCAAATGGTCGGGCCGCAAATGTCGGGGAGCCGTTACAAGACTAATGCTAAATGATTTAGGGAGGTTTAGACGTGTCCTATCGAGTTGGCTCAAAAATGAAAGATGACACCGTGGTTACTTTCGAAGTGGACGCTATTTTTGAGACTCGGTAGACTCAAGCTAGCGCTTGACAGGTTTTTTAGGACAATCCAAAATGTGATTGGCTACATCAAAGGCCGGGAAGATCCGGACCGATATGTCATCTTGGGAAATCATTTTGATGCTTGGGTATGAATACATCAATTCGCGTGTAAACCTAATTATAACAAGTTCAGGCATATGGTTCGATGGACCCAAATTCTGGAACCGCAATTTTAGCCGAATTGATTCGCGCGCTAACCAAGACTGTGAAAGAAACTGGATGGAGACCAGGTTGCGATCTAGATGTTGTAAAATTCCTGTTTAGCCAGAACGATAATGTTCGCGAACTGGGATGCGGAAGAATATGGCCTTATCGGCTCGACAGAGTTTGTGGAGGAGTACGGACAACAGCTACAGGATCGAACTGTCGTGTATTTGAATATGGACTGTCTCGTCGGGAATTTGACGCTGTGAGTGTTCTTGCCCTCGAAGAAGGGGCTCTTTTTGTTTAGAGACGTCGCCTCAGTGCCATCACTTTACAACGCTATCGTTGAAACCGCAAAGGCTGTCGAAAATCCGAACGAGCAGGAAAGAAAACTTGGTCGTAGGACAGTTTTTGATAGCTGGTAAGCTTCTACCGCTTTTAATGTCATGGCGATCTTAGGAATTTCTATGCCAAAAGCCGCGTCGACCCAAACATTCCAAAGATCGCGATCCCAGGCGGTGGGACTGATCATCAACCATTTTTGCACTTCCTTGGGATCCCGACGGTCGATTTTACGTTCGAGGTGGAGTTAGCCAGCCTCTCGTAAACGGAAAGCTATAGAACCCCTATACCGGCTACCCGCTATACCATACAATGTATGAAACCGCCTATGTGAATGAGAATCTCCTGGATAATGATGATTTTGCGGTCAATCTTTTACCATAGCCCAAGAACTTTTTCAGGTGCACAAAGCGACAGCCGAAATTTGGGCCCAGCTAGCGTTACGATTCGCCGATTCCAGAATCCTGCCCATTAATGCCACGCAAATCCCTTGGATTCTTCTGCAATCCCAGATACCTGATATCGAAAAGGAAGTCCGAAAAGTCGGAAATGAGAAGGTGTAGAAGCAGTTAACGTAAACTTTCCGGCTGTAGGCACTTCCCGATACCTATGAACAAATTGAGTTCCTGAAAAAGGCCTGTCGATCGCTTATTTATGCTTCGGATAAGTTCTATGCCCAGGTCGCGGACACGAAAAAGGGATTGACGCGTTGGAACGATCACCTAATGACGTAAGTCGTTTTCTGACACATTTAGCAGTATTTCTAGTGTTGAACGCTGCTTTTATAACCCTATTGCCAACCCCGAGGCCCCGGATAATCGCCATATTTTATACTCGATCAACCCGGAAAATCGATATTACGCGAGGACGTTTGGGCAGGTTAGAGATTCGGTAAGTTTGACAGTTTGAAACGAGGCTTTCGAACTTTACGAAGCAGTTGAAAAGTATTATAGCTAACACGACATCTGAAAACGAACGGGACTACCGTAGAAGATCTCGACCGAGAAATGGCTCAAGGCTTTACCACTGTTCAGCGCGCAGTTCGATGTGCGGCTGCCAATCTAAGTGAATTCATCTAAATTTCGCTATCATAGGCCAAAATTTATCAAATGAAAAAGGTATCAAATTATAGGTTCCAATTTACTATGTGTTTATTATAAAATCTGTCATTAATTCGTTTCATTCGTTGACATCTCAGATAAATTGCACCGAATCAGGAAATCACGCGATATACGCAGTCACAAGGCCCGGAAAGTACCTTTTACTCTTTTTCTAGCATCTCCCGTATCCTTGCAACAAATTAAGCACGCAGCCGACACAACAGATACAAGGGCTGATAAGGGGCGCGTGAGCGCTTGGACCGAAATCGGAAGATCCGGCGCAAAACAGCAGACCAGGAATCCTTAGTTAGTGCTGGCTGTTCGAAGGGGTCAATATCCATTGTTTGCACTGGGAACCTACAATATAACAAAACCGTAAATTACCGATTTGAAACACCGTTTCATCGCGAAACGGTCAAGACCCATCCATGCAATCTGGCTGACGCCAAAATGGTTTCCCTTTTCACTCTGTTGCCCCGGATGACGGGCATTTTTTTGATCCGAAACCGCCCCAATCCACCCCCAGCGATGTCTCCAAGTGCACGCCATAAATCTTTTGCCCTGTACGAAATTAACGCCCCCGTCCACGTGGTACTCACATATCTCCCCATTCTCAGCCATTCCCATCAGCCGGTCCATTCCCTTTTTCGCACAAAAAACATTCGAAGAAGTGCAAAACGCGCGTGTCGGTCCCAGCGCAGTACCGAAGCACTTCAATCACCAGTCCACCCCAACGCACCCCTCGAACTTCCCAGTTATTTGGGGAAATGGATCCGTTGTGTATATTACCTGACGAACTTTTATTTAATATTTTAAACCTACTACCTTCGCACGAAGCCCATAAGGTCGCACGACTTTCTAAGGCTTATTTTTCTAAAATCAAAGGCTATGGATTTTTACGGAGCGTGGATCTGGATTTTCTGTACATTGGCAAACGAGTTAGGTTTTTACATGAAGTTTTGATATTTTTTAGAATTATTTCACGTTTGACGATGACACGAAGAATTATGGAAAGAATTTAGACAAGCTGTTAACGAGGTTTAATTGTATTTTTGTGAAGCATGCAACTATCGATGTAAGTTTTTCGATGCGTTCAAGCTCTTCGATTTCAGTATGGGGCATCATTACAAAACGTCGTCAACCTGATACAGTACGCCATTTCCAAGAAGCTCCATGTCGAAAATCTGACCTTAAATGCAATCCATTACCGCGAGGAATTTAATTTTTTGCATGCGTAAGCTTTTGAATCGGAGGCTCACCTATCTTTTTAGAGCCTTGAAGCCGAGAAAAATAGTTTTTCAATTTTCGGATTCTTCATTTCGTCTGCGGATCCCTGAATCATGCAATACCGTTTTACTTGGCAAGAGCGAGCGGTTGAAATCGGAAATCGACATTTCCCAGGCTAAGCGCCTGAAATGGTAACCTGTTTTTAAAAAATGACGTGTATTTTTAGGATTTGCACGGACTCCAAAGCTATGGATGCTATAAGTAAACTGCGTACTGAGGTTGCGAAAATAGGACAACTTCCAGATACCTCAATCCTTAAGTGGAATTCTGAATTGAAACGACTGCAGGCTGTCTTGTCGAGAACCGGAAGTGAATACAAATTGTCCACCCCCAGTTTTGATTTGGTATGGAGTTCTTAAGCGAATAAACGCGGCTTAGGCAACGTACAAAACAGACAGCTAACGGAAAAGAAAATAAAAGCAATTACACACAAAGAAGGGGACGCATAGGCCTGTTTCCCAGGAGCGGAAATGGCCCGTTTTTTAACTACAAATTTCCGGTCGACCCCAGCCTTCAATGTGCCCCCGAGGGATTTTCATTCGAATGCTCTAATTCCGGAGGTTTCCAAATAAGCGGTTTGCAAGGCAATGCTATAAAAAGGGAATCTTTAAGTAAGACTTTTGATTCTACTTCTTGTTTCTAATTGGTGATGCTCCTCTTCTTATTTTAGCCGAGAAAATGGACAGCCAGATTCCATTTTTGGAGGATTTGAGGTTGTGCTGATGTTTCTCTCCTCCTATAGTTACGTCATTTTACATCGAAAATTCAGCGCTGCTGTGGGTAGCCGGGTCTTCATCGATTCCGGGGAGAATAGTCGATCATATCGGTGGACCACCCCGGCTTCTTGCCTCGGCACTCGCCCGACGAGCCAATAACAGTTCATCAAAATCGATTTCCGGACTATTAAATTTATTTCGGGTCCAGTTAATTCACACTATTTTATCCTATATATCCTATCTAAGCGAGAAAAGTATGTTTGTTTTCTGTGCAGCCGTTTTCTCGGCCGTGAGGCCGAATTTCGTGCTGGTCAAAAAGAACTAAGAATCTACTTTGTCAATCGCTATGAAAAACCTGTGTCTAAGCCTAGCTTTTCTACCTTTAGTCCCGACTGTCGATTCGTTTGAATGTATTTTTTGGTTTGAGACTAACCCCTCACACACTTTGCGCAACCCCCCACAAAAACTCCCAAATTTTTTTGGAAGACTTGGCCGACCTAACGCAGCTGCAACTCGGCGTCCCGGGATGGCAGCCCCGATTGGGACAGTCTTTAGGGTCGTTTGCTTTCCATATGGTACCACCGCACTCCGATCGGTCCTCCCCAATTTCTAAGGGCAGCCGCTAAATTGCGCCCCGATACCCCGATATGTTTACGTAGAGTAGAGCATATGTGAGGTAGTCCCACTAGAAAATGGCAAAATTTTAGCCAGAGCAAGTGGGTCTTGGATTCACCAAAACAGCTCTTGCCCGATTTGTGTCGACCGTGCTGTATATTTGATAGACCTTGTGATATTTGATAGCTTAAATTATTTGTAAGGTTACCAGCCAAGTTTTAGCCAGAAAGGCCTGCCGAGACCGGTGGACGGCATCGAACTGAAAAATCGCGCTATGGAAAATGTGGTGGCGCTGATTTCAGAGGATTTTGAGTGTGGGGACCCGGTAGGTTACTATTGTTTCAATGCCCTTCAATTATTTCTGATGCGAGCTGGGTCCTCCCAATTTATATTTGTTTAGAAATGCCACAAACGCTTCAGGGCAAAGACACCTGCCTCGACCCTGATTGAGCACATCCTATCTCGGCATTATTCCAAACTGCCGCTGCTTTGTCGCGGTGAGAAGTGTCAGAAAGCGATATTGTTCATTTTCCAGTATGCGGCCAAGTGTTTCCGATCTACGATAAGTCACACTTTGGACAGCGCGCAGTCTGTAAAAGCCAGCCGTACAGTACTTTGTAAGTTATTGGCTTGACCGAATCCGCTTTTGGCAATTTTTAAACCTTGTTAACTTAAATTTTCAGCGACGCCGACGATTACCACAAGCTAGTGGCCGTAGCAAAAATGTGCTGCCCATCGGCGACAATCTCGAACCGAATTATGGATGGGTTATGGCTGAAATATATCGAGCCCGGGATCGAGGGAAAGGTCATCCCAAGGCTCGCTTCTAATTGGGTGTACTGGACGCAGGAGGTACCGTATCTAGTCTAAAAGGACGAATAAGAAACAACGAACCTTGTCAAATTCAATTTAAGTGCGAGCGTACACCGGGCTTGCAGCACAAGTCGATCGTATTCCCGGAAGAGCCAACGGTTGGTGTATCTGAAAACAAAACAATGAAACTCTTTTAGCCCATCGTCATGACCCCGCCCGCCGAGGAGTTGCTCAAATTCTTTGAAGAAGCTAGGGATCCGGAGAATCGACCTATTGGTATGCTTTGCTGGCTTTGGGCTAAAATTGCCTGTTTCGACTTTGACTAGAAATTTTCAGAGATCATCAACGTGTTCTACACGGATTCAACCGACTCGGACTCGTAGCTGCTTCGTCTGTAGCAATCCAACTCTACCTCACTAAAGGCCCTAACCTCGCAAAATACATACCACCTCTAGCAATATTGCCACTGTCGTGAATTCGTGTGATAAATATTATTGTCATTTCAACAGGCGAATGCACAATAGTTTAGATGTCACCTTTTTTGGGATAGGTGTAGCTAAGAAAGCTGCAGCGCGCGTCTGTAGCTTGCAATAGCTCTCTTCATGGAATTTATGAAAAACATTCTAGAGTCTGTGCTGTTAATAGGGATCGAATCTAGATTCTTCCAACTCTATAGGGATTTGCGAATTTTTAGAGTCCCTCGGCGACGACTAGAAAGTGGTCAACTCGTTTTCTAACCCTTGGATCAATCTGTTTTTCACGGACCGATTTGTGAGTCATCATTTTCAAGAATTGCCCATGGAACTGCTCTCCTCTTTTGCTGACTCGATTTTGTTTATGTCTGAATACGCTGGGCCCACACGCGAAGATCAAATGCTACGATAGGCCGTCATGTAAATGGGCTCCTCCCCCCCCTCCAACAGCCAATGGCTTCCTCTCTTTCCGAGTGCTTTTGCATGCATTCCGTATCATTTACAGTAGTGTTCTAGGGTTATATATTCTTTATCTTCCGTCTTAAATTAAGCCATTTAGTTGAACTCTTTAGGCCCATGAGCTTCCCGAACCCATTGGCACTGCCGCTCCCTGTCCATGTCCAACCTGCTGTGCCGCCGACTGCAGGTCGATCTTCGAAAGGATAACAACCGTCTATTTTCCAGCCGAACAAAACCACCCTGCTTTACCCGACACCACCGAAAATGAACATGGATCTTACCTTGCGGATCCGGAAAGTAGGCGTAATTTGGATTTGAGCTCCTCCAATTTCAGCGGTGCCCCTCCACCCTGCGCCAGTTTTCACTCCCACGCAAGCCCTAGGAGATCAAGTAGCTTGTCTGGTGTATGCAGCTTTTGTGAAATTTGCTGAACTATACAATTCCAGCCCGAACTGTGAGGTGCTCTCTGACGGGCTTGAGAATTGGTGGCTGCACACACATCATGCGCATCGTAACGAGCTTCAGGTAAAGCCGACATACTTATATACTTGATCAAGGGTAGATAACAAAATTATGGGATACGTACAGGCGCGTAGAAGGGGGGGGGGGGGGGGGGCAGCGGGGGCAGGCTGCCCCCCCCCCCGAAATCGGGTGGGCCCGAAAAAAACATAAGGGTCCCCCCTTATGATTTTTTTCATCTTGAAAATTTTTTCGCCTGCGGCGCTGTTTTTATTACTTTTTATTAATTTTTTTGCCTGCGGCGCTGCTATTTTCGCAAAATTTTTCGCCTGCGGCGCTTAAATTTCGAAAACATTTTTGTGCTGCCCCCTCCGAAATGTCGCTGCCCCCCCCCCCCCGAAACTTGGGGCCAGCTACGCCCCTGGATACGTAGCCTGGGAATATCGTAAACACCAGGCCCCATTTTTTAGAAAATCCACTGCTTCCGGTGCCATCAAAAGTTCAGCCAAGTGGGCAGCCTCCGTCAGCACTTGCAGCAGCACCTCCGTAGCCCCGAAAGGAATTTTCATAATTTTGTCTGGTTCAGCGTGGCGGGCCTGCCTCATCTGTAACCGTGATTTTCTGTCGCCGGCTCGACTTGACGCACACCTGAACGTGGGGTTTAGCCTGTACCGATAGTCTATCTCCTTAGGCGCATCGAAACAACGGCGAGCTCAACACATTTACACACGGCTGCTTCAAGTAGGGGATAGTACGGTCTTGGTAAAATCCGAATTTTGCAGTGTAAACTGCGGCCTCTTGTTCAAAACCAGGCAGGAGCGCGTTGCACACATGGACAAACGGCACCCCAGAGTAGGATTTAAGGTTAGAGTGCAGTTTACCCCTCTCCCGCAGCCGGCGCCCAATTTTTGTATCTCGGCTCCCTGTTCATCTACAGGCGTGTAAAGTATACCAAAATGTTCGTCCTGCTCTGGCGAGTATTTGGTATGCTTTACACACTTGTAGATCAACAGGGAGCCAAGATGCAGTAGGTGGGAGTCCATTGGGCGGGGGGTAAACTGCATATAAGCCGGATGTAATATCCTTAACAGTCCTTAACAACAATGATCCAAGTCTGGCAACTTTCTAATTGATTCTTCGACCAGATAGAATACGGATTTTTGGCAGCGCTGCAAATCCATGAACGATGGTTTTATAAGGTTTTTATAAGTCAAAGTAACTCAAAGTGAAAAACTTAGGGCCAGATTAAAGTTTATCTGAATTTTTTTATCGATGAAGTTAGAACTAGAAATTGGCGGAAACTGATCACGTTTCCCTAACAAGGGGATGGTCTCAGCTCGGCATCGAATTTCGGTTTGAAAATTTGCACACTTATAGAGCTCGACGAGACAAATCGATTGGTGTAACTTTCAGCAGCAGATACCCCGAACTAACAAAGTTATAAGCATTTTTAGTTTTTGCATACATTTTGCAATTTTTCGCCCTACCTTCATAAGCTCTCCCCATTCCCCCAACAGCATGGTCTCGTGGTCTAGTGGAGTGGTACGCGGCGTCTGGGGAATCTATCGAGGGTTCGAACCCGCTCACGACATTTATTTTTTGCTTTTTGGTCCAAAGATTCCTCTTGGTCTTCCAAAGACCTTTAGTGGCTTTCTAGGCATTTACCAGGAACCAGGAAGCGCTTGCAGCAAAAAATCCCACTCCTAAAAATTTTTGGAAATTTTGAAAGTTGGCAAGGTAACCATAGTAGGATCAGTTCAAAGAAAATAATTTTAAGTATTTTCATGAAGCTTGGGATACGATAAAGTGTTGATAAGCAGATTGCCAGCCTTCTGAAAATTTCCCCAAATTTTTTTGAGGAGGCATGAGCCCAGGTACAAAATTTTAAATTTTTTGCAAAGCTGCTTTATTGTTGGCAACGCTTCCTGGTGTATAGTTGATGCTAAAAAAGTTATTGAAGGCCTTTAGAAGGCCAAGAGGAATCTTTGGACCAAAAAGCTAGAAATAGAAGTCGTGAGCGGGTTCGAACCCTCGATAGATTCCCCAGACGCCGCGTACCACTCCACTAGACCACCAGACCATGCTGATGGGGGAATGGGGAGGGTTATGAAGGTAGGGCGAAACATCTGCCAAATGTATCCAAAAACTAAAAATGCTTATAACTTTGTTAGTTCGGGGTATCTGCTGCTGAAAGTTACGGCAATCGATTTGTCTCGTCGAGCTCTATAAGTGTGCAAATTTTCAAACAGAAATTCGATGCCGAGCTGAGATCATCCCCTTGTAAGCTACCGTACGCGAATTTGCGCTAAAAAATATTTTCAAGAAAAGCGCACCAATATCCCAAAAAACACAGGCAAACCGAGCTGCTGGCAGTAGTCAAAGCGGACCCCACAAATGCAAGCAGTACGTTTTTTTTGCAAAGTAACTACAGTATTATCAAAATCAAAGTTATATCAAAATCAGAATTTCAGCCCAAACTGCTCTTCGAGCCACACCAGCAACAGCCAACTGTCCCGCCACCTTGACACCCACAAGCAAGGGGGCCGCTTTCATGTAAAACTTTTCTTAATTTTAATGTCATCACTGCCGCTTAGTGCCCGTCATGCGCCAAGGTCTTCAAGCGCGTTGAGGCGCTCGCGCGTCACTTCAAGAAAGCGCATCAGAGGTAAGTTTTCGAAGCAAATCTAAAGGACGCCATCCGGGATAGATGAATCAATGATTCGTAAAGAAAAATTTCAGACGCTGCCCCGCCAATCGACCCAACTAACGGAAATTAGTGGAATTTTGGTGATCCTGGTTATCTTCCTACTACGGCCTATGACTTTTCAATCTTTTTTTCTTAATTACCTCGCGTGGTTTCAAAAAACGTCTCTTCTATCCATCGTACTATGCAATTTTCTTGTCAACAGCCTTGAATAGTAAATAAATTGTTTGTTAACAACGAATTTTGTTGTGCAAAAGTCTGAGCAGAAGCATAATTTACATACAGACCACACATGATAATTACAAAGAATTCTTTACGAACTACGATACTTTGCGACTTCGAAAAATGTCAATCCCCGATTCTGCTACTGAAATTACCCCCATCCAATATCAACCGATCAATCGTGTTTTTGAGATCTCAACTATGAGTCACTAGCGGTCGTGAATGGTTGATGAAGCTCCCTTACCCCTATTCCGGGCCGCCATTTTGTTTTGTCTGCGTACCCTAGGAAGATGCCAACATTAGATAAAAATAAACTGCGCGAGCGGACTCGATTTCACACAAACAGCTGAATCACTTCTGGACATTTTATTTTAGTATTGATTTCATCATTAAGTACCTCGTTTAATAGAAAGATTGACTACCCTTTACTTTGCCCCTGCCGAAATGTTTGACCATAACTTTTTTATTTTACATTATCGTGGGCTCAAATTGAAACTGGTAGTATATTTCGATGCTCTATCGAATGACCTTGCAATAATCCCGACAAAATAAGCGAAAATACCGAAGTCTGGAGATCCTTCGGGTGGGGGGGGGGGGAAGTAAAGTCTTACCGAAAAATCACATCTTCTTTGAAAAAGATAATTCTAAATTGCCTCAAAACCTGGGTGGGGAAGAGTAGATAAAGTTGAGATGATTATACCTCTAGAAGTCGTACTAAATAGAGCCCTTTCAACGCTGTTCCAGGATGGCTCAAAATCCGGACCACACCTCGGTCAATCTCCCCGGCCAACCAACCTTGCCGGATGAAATTCAAGTAATTTACAATCTAAAATTTATATTTGGAATCCGGGGTTTACGCAGAATCACTATCAAAGGAATTCGCTCTGATGCTGGTATTTTTAGGAACCCCTTCCATCCAGCGGGCTACCAGAGATGCTGACCATTGTGGAGCCGCGAGACGGAGATCCAGCACTTCCCACCTTCACCCCCACCTTTGACACCCAGGCGTTGCCGACCATCACCCCAGAACTGGCCGCGCTTTGGAATAGTACCTTCCTGCTTAATTATTAACACCAAACCTAGCGCTCCTTCACCTAACTCCTCCAAAAAACGCCAACGACCCGAGGGATGTCATTGAGTGCCTACAGTACGTTTTACTCTATGAAGGACTGGAGAAAAACGGAAAAATGGTCGGATGGAAAATTATAGGGTAAACTGCCAGGAGCGCTTCGAAGATATGAAATTATGGGCTGAGCATATGCGAGGACATTGCAAGGGATTGAAGGTAAAGCAGTCACTCCTTCTCTCGCCTCTCTCTCCCATTTTCTATAGCTCTCTCTCTCTCTCTCTCTCTCTCTCTCTCTCTCTCTCTCTCTCTCTCTCTCCGTCACCCGTCACCGTTCAGTGCTTCATATGCGGAGAGCGATGCAGCCTTTCCCACTTACCAATTCATTTTGAGCAGCACCTCCGTAAGCTATCGAGTAACGAAAAATGTTACCAATCGAAATTCAGCCACCCCCGCACACACTTGTAATATCTGTGGAGAGCGCTTCGTTGATGCTGGACTATTTTTGGGGCATAATGGGGTGAGTCGCATCAGATTACAATTTTATACGGGTCTTTTAGAACCACTTGCTGTTGCTGGAATACGCCCCTCGCAAATATCCCTGTGGCGTGTAAGTTTCTATCGACGCGAAACCAAGTAAGAATGTTTTCAGCCCATTCTGCACCCTGCGCTTCAGCACCGTCCTCGAGTTGCAAAATCATTGGATTGAAGTCCATCCTACGGTAGCCAAGCTTTTCTCAAATCGTTCGAGTTTATTCTTAGTCGCCAAACGGAGAGCAACTGCGCTTCCATCGCTACCTGGACGTGGGCATCGACCCAAGACGGCCCTTCCAATGCAAGATGTGGGCTTGAAGATTTAAAAGATGCCGATTATTTTAGCCCCGGTTGCGATATGGCATTCGCGACGGCAAAGGAGGTGGAGCGCCATGAACAAGGGTCTCGTACTCACCCGAAAAGGCTCCGGAAACAAAGGTTGGTGCAAATTTGCGTAAAAATTTCAATACGTCAGGTCCAAAATATAAACCATTTAGGAGTGCAACGGAGCAGAACGCTTCGTCGCCCGCGAAGAACTAATGACTAATCATCCCCATTCGAATTTTCTTGTAGACTGTGCAAATTCCGGATACCTTGGATATCCTGACGCGAATTTTGTTTGTTTATCATGGTTTGTAACGCGGTTTGTGCCTTCTTTTTGCAGCGGTTTTCTTGGGGATAAACCATTCACCAATATTGCAGTGGTACACTCCATTTTTTAAGGTTTTCTACTATTACCAATTCCTCAAGCCAACACAAACAACTCCCTGATCAGGTTCGATCGGTTCGTCCGATTATTTTGGACCCGAATTTCGCAAACCGATTGATGGAGGACGGTTAGCCGACCCTGGCTCTGGGAAGCCATTACGAGTTGCCGCGTACTAGGGCCCGAATGGGTAGAAGCTCCGCCTTTTTGCTTTGTCTGATCATTCCAGCTGGGTGGTCCATTTTAAGCAATCGAACCGACAGCAGCACCAATCTCATCTCTTTCACTCTCTCACTTTCTCTCCCGCTCTGTCTCTCTCTCTCTCTCTCTCCTATCTCTCTCTGTCTGCCTCTCTGTCTCTTTCTCTTCACTCTTCCGCGCCTCTCTCCCCCCTCTCTCTCTCTCTCTCTTCTCCCCTCTGTCTCTTTCTCTCTCTCTCTTCTTCGCTCTCTCTCTCTCCTCTCTCTTTCTCTCTCTCTCTCTCTCTCTCTCTCTCTCTCTCTCCATCTCTCCTCCTGGGCTTGAAGATATCACGATGAAAATATCGATCGAATTTCATTACAACTCTCCCCGAGAATTTGTTTGTGCTGATCCCATCCTCCTTGATCGATACCGCGCTTACAAATTGCTTCCAACCATCTGTGTCCATGCCATTCCCTCAAATAGCTCCGCCCTCCTCCGACAGTCCTGATCGTCCGCCCGACATTGATTGGCCCCCGGGGTTTTCATTTTACATACAACCTAAAGATGGGTAAACGATGGCCGGTCGTTCATTCAGTATGATAGTTATTTTTGTGCCGATTTTTAATTTTCGCTATTGATGATGCATTAATGAGGGTTCCGCCTTGCCGGGCCTCGCTTCTCCCATACCCCTCGTATCGAAACCGAGGTCCGAAAAGCATGGCGGTCCTCATTAATTCTGGATACCTTGATCGACCTTTTTTCGTTGCTTCAGCCCAGAATGCCAATTTCAAGTTGAATCCAACGATGCCACCCGATACAAAGATCCTCTACGATCCAGTGGTTGGAGATGCTCTTCAGCCGAGGCTACGATGCAACAGGTAACACCTAGAATTTCGTGACTACCTTCCCATTAAATTTACAAAAGTAAAAATAGGTGTAGCCTTCTACCTTCTTTGTAAATGCATTTTTGCAGGACCGACTGCCAAAAAGAATTCACCACGTTATGTGCTTTGAAGCGTCACTTGATCCGACATGGCGGGCCTGAACACAAAGTAGGGACTATCCTAATTTTTCGCAGCATAAAATTTAGTGCTGCATCTGCAGCGAGCCGTTCCTGAGCCAGTGCATGCTACGGCGTCATTTTGATGAGCATTGGCGTAAGTAAGATTGTTTGCAGAGGGTTTAGCTATGTTAGCCGACATCCCAGCCCATTTTTTGCCTAAACGAGCTCGTCTGGCTGTCCAGGTCAAAGAAGAGGCCGTAGATGAACAAGTAAGTTGTGAAAAGCGAACCGGTTGCGCTCTGTAGTGTATAGTATTTAGTGGGAAAGTGAGTAATTTTAGGAAGAGCCCAGGATGCAGCCAAAAAGTCCGGCATTAACCGCATCGGCGGCACCGCGACTTCACTGTCCATGGCATGTTGAATCCACATCAACTTTTAATTACCAGATCATAGCAAAGACTGCTAACAATTAATTTCGACTTAAGATGTCAAAATTGGTAATTTAGGCCGACATGCAAGGCGTCAACTTTCGATACATACTCTGCACTGCGAGGTCATTGCATTGAAGTCCATGTTGCTGAAGATGCAAAGGTATCGATTGCGGGAATCCGGCTATTATGAATGACAAATCCTTAGAACAATGATACAACCGCTACGCCACCTCAAGAACACTCCCTTCCAAAGATGGAGTTCAAGTGCATAAAGTGAGTCGTTTTTCAGTCGTATGATGGCTATATAAGTATGAATCAAATCCTATTTTTTAGCAAAGGCTGCGCTCGCGTCTTCACGAATTACACCAAATTTCTCAATCACCTCGCCAACCACGGAAGAGTGATTGGACGAGAACGGAGACAAGAGGTTTGCTTCGAATCGAAATAGTTTTTATATGGACCAGCAACGCTAAAGCCTCATTTTATATAATTCACTAGTGAGATTGTAGCGAATAGGAAAATTCCTCTTCAGTTTTTGTTATAAATCCAGTTTAGTGCGGCTTCTGCGGTCTCCATTTCAAGTCTCGCTCTCGACTCCTCAATCACCAGCCTACCCATACCATGGGTACTCGTAAGGTTATTAAGGAAATCTTTATTTTAGGGTATCGACCCTTCCAATGCTCCGCTTGTCCTGCGACCTTCACCCGCGGTTACAGCCTTGATTCACATCTCAAAGTTGTAAGGAGTTTCAGTTTTTCTTCCTCAAAAACATGCCTGGCTGGCTTCCGGTCAAGCGCGCATTAATTTTTTCTGTTAAGGTTCATAAAATCGTCTTGGAGAAAAAGACGACGCCAGAAAACTTTCAAAAATCTACTGAAGAACCGAAGAAACAGGAAAATGAAGCGATCATCCCCCGACCGCAACCAGATCTGACATGTCCCTGGCAAGGCTCAAACAGTGTATCTAATTGCCGTTTTTAGGTGTGGAATTGCATCGAGGGACGAAGAAGCGGCTGCCCAGCACTTGCCCGATCATCTGCTTGAGACCACGGTAATGGCCGCTTTGTCAAAAAAATTTTGTAAGCTTGAATTAACGGAAAACTAATTTTAATCCGCAATATTTTTAGTGCCAGTGCGGCTTCATCCTTTCTTCAAAAACCGAGCTCGCCCTCCATCAAAGCCAGGAGCACGGCAAATTCTCATCCAAAAAGGGAAATATTGATTTCAGGATTTCCATGCCAACACTGCAATGCCACCTACAAAGAGAAGCAACAACTTGTCAGGCATATCTTGGTCGTATGTTTATAAAATTTTTTCGTGATGCAGAAAATATGTATTACGAACACATGATTTTAGCGTCACCTCCTCAAGCGACCACTGGACGGTGTAGAAAATCTGTACGCTAACATCATACAGTCGTTCTCGCCGGAGATGCTTCACGATATCTCCTCGATCTTGGGCATTACAAACGCGAATGCTAGTGAACAAGTTGCCCACGCCGCAGGGCATGACGGTCAAGCTGTAATCAACCCCCTTTGCCCTGATGCTATTTTTGCCAATTTCTTCCGTCAATTTGTATTTCTTGCGCGGCTAATTGCATTCTTGGTCGAACTTGTCGAACAACAATAAGCGCAGTGAGTAAAAAAACATACCTTTAAAAGAAAAATTTGGAATTGGAAAGTCTTGTGTACTTGGTGCCCTTAGATTTTTTAAGACATAAATCATCTTGCGCCATTTTTAATATGCATACGACCCGGTCATAACAATTATTGCTGTGCAACTATCTTCGTCATGATGATTTTTTGGCCTTTTTCTCAGCAATTTACAAGTGTCTTACAACGTTCTGCTCAAGCTTCTCTCTCCATATTATCAATAAATTATTGTTAAATTTGCGTCAAACTACAATGAGATCAAATCGGGATAAAATGGGACTCCTCGGTCGGCACCGCGTACAACCAATCATCCATATTTTTCAATTCTCGAAAGCATTCAGATTTTAGGGGGTTATTGCAATCGTTGCCAACGGAGTCTAGTCTAAATTATCACATTTTTATCTAACAATTACTGCAAACCTGTACATGCACTTTTCCAGGATTGGTAAGATGCCTTGGAACCGAAAAGGTGGATTGTCATCGCCAAAAATGTCCTTGAGGCTTTGGCGTAGGGTTTGGATTTCGGAGTCCTAAAATAATTCTTGGTCAAATAAGCAATCTGGTTGATAAAATTCTACTGTCTTTTTGGCATAATTAGTCGTCAGTCTTCTTTACCTACCGTAAACAATTCAAATTCCGGAAATCGACTAGTATGATTCCGCGCTTGATCCAAATCCTCATTCCTCATCTCGAGGTAAGCAACTTGAGTATCGGGTAACTATAATTGAATTTAGTAGGTTGTTCAAGGTTTTCCTACAGCCACGGTCTGCTTGTCCCCAAAAAATTCACGGATCAGATGCATGTTTGGAATCCTGGCGAACCGCGTCTCGTAGATGTACTAAAACTGGCTAATTCACGCTGTGTGGCGGATAACCTTAATTTTATCCTCATAGCTCTCCTTAAGGAATGGGACGGCACTTTTCAGGAAGTTGAGCTCTTGAAACTTTCCAAAATTCCAAGGATTAGGCGCTATCGGCTCTTTAAATCCCAATGCGCTGTGCTGGAGTTTTAGAGCGCCTGAATGGATAAAAAAAAATGCTGGTTTCATCTACCACCAACCTGCATTCGGATTCTCGGCCGTGCTGAAATATCGATGGACAATATCGAGGAGGTTATCGGATTTGTTTCTAAAAGAAACTCACTCATATTTGGTGACGGTTTTATGACTCACCTAACATAAAATATCTCATCCACATCGTGCACAACAGTATAGTCTGTATTCGACCAAATCGAGCAGAAAAGGGTAGTTAGATGGACATTACCATGGTATACGTGTTCATTAGGGTTAAATAGCTGACTATAGGGCATCAAGGGGACTGGGCGGAGCTCAACAATACCCTGAAAATCGATAATTTAATTAAATCGTAACCCGACCTGCTCCACATAATAATCCAGTAACTTCTTGGTAGCAGCGGACACAGAATGAACATGCATTAATATTTTGTGAACACCAGTCTTTCTCCAATATTCAATAAAAATCAACAACCGAGGCCAGTCATTATACCTAATCACAAAATCGGATGTTATAAAGCTTCCAAAACTACCAATATAACGGTGTCGAGTTGCATGAAGTAATCCCAGGAATATAATTGGTGTGAATTCGATGTAATTTAACCCTGGCGAAGGATTGTTGACGGAATATAGTTATCTAAATTCATTCCAATGAATCATCAAAATTCCTACCTTCTGAGAGGGCTTCTCCCAAAAGATATTCGTCGATAGTTCCATTTCTTGCATTTTGCAGTGACCGCCAGGTCCACCAGCACAACCAGCAGCTAAAAATCTATTTAAATTATCTACCAATTTTTATGAAAATATAAAAAGTTCATTACTTACTTCCAATAACATAAATCCTATCAATATACAGCGTTTTCCCGTCGGCCAGCACCACCAAAAATTGCTCCTCTTTCATTTTGTGACAATCCCCAGTGGCGATTATACGAATACGAGGACCAGCAGGGTCTCTAATTCATAGAAAAGTAATTTCCACCGAATTTTACTACCTCGTTTCATAAAAAGCGTAATAGACTAGCAATTCTTCACCGGTAATAAGGTCTGGGCTCATCTCCACATTATCTGGATTTGCCGACCGAAAAATCTCAGATTTAGAGCTGTGGATCATATCGAAAAACGTTTAGGTATTTGCCTGAATTAAGAACCAACCTCTCAAATACTCATTTCTCCGATGTATCTTCCGGTTCAACTCGCTGTACTTGTGCTGGTGCTGATAATGAGAATATACAGTATCGTCTCGCCTTGTCTCCAGAAATACCCAAAGTAGAAGAGCCAATTGTATAGCAATATACCCAAGGTGATGTTTCCTCAAAGCCATTTCGCGATTTAGGGCTTAGGTGGGGTACCGTCACCTCCCGAAAGGTGCTACTGCCCGCCCTCGATCTGACCCCTTTGCAAAAGATCCCGGGCCCAGATACACCCACAAAACAGTTTCGATGTTCTTGGCCGGGGGAAGTGGATTTTCATCGTGGTGCTGGGGTATGTTCTACCTTGCTGGTCTTCTTCACCTAACAAAGACTTATTCTATGCCTTAAATTCAAGGCAGGGTGAGGCTGCAGCGCTACCTAAAAATCCTACCTTATATAATTTTGGCGTGTATCTTTGTGTGTGTGTGTGGATGTCAGTTTCGAGGCCCGATTTGAGGGCCTTCCCGTGTCCAAAACGTCCCAATTCTCCGTCACTTGGGGGAATCGACCCTTCTGTTTCCGATGGCGTTTTCAGAACTTCGATAAAACACAAGTTTACAAAGTTAAAGCCGGTTTTATTCATTTTTGGGGTCCCCGAAGGCTAATTTGCATAATGTGAAAAAATACAAATTTCCTCATTCTTGCAAGTTGCACGCGCGCGTGTGGTCGGACGGGGGGAGGGGTCCGAAGGACCCGAGCTATCAGGAAGTCAAATTTCTCATGCAAAGGCCACATTCCAGCGCCCAAGGCCCGCGAAGCGGGTTTTGAGCGCTGGTTTTTAATAAGTCTCACGTCACAAAAGTACCTTTGGACCGATTCGACATGAATAAATAATTAAGAGGAAGTTATAATTGAAAGCGGTTGATAAGCTCCGGCGCTGCCGCCCGCGCTAGGGGTACGGTAGCAGGCCACCGGAAGCCAGAGCCTATACCAAATTTGCCGCTCTTAAAGGTACACTAAAATCTCATGCAAAAAGTCAGTTCGCGGTCGGAAATCCGGGCCCTCTGCCGCGCAACGCCCGGACCCTTCTTATCCCCCTCCCCTCTCCCCTCTCCCGTCTGTCCCATGGCCTAGTGGTCTAAAGCGCTCGCCCTCGGCGAGTGGCGCGGGTTCGGTTTTGCTCCGCGGCGAGCACCTACCGTAACCCTGTTTGCTATCCCGCGGACGGTTACCGGCCGGTAACCAAACCAACGAGGCTTTAGTGTACCTTTAATTGGTTATGTGTAGTAGTAATTTTTCACCTTTTTGTACATTTATTTATTTTTTATTGCCACAATTATCTACAGAGATCAAATCGGGATAAAATGCGAATCCTCTGTCGGCACCGCATACAACCAGTCGTCCATATCCTTCAATCTTTCAAAGCACTCTGATTTTAGGGGGTTGTTGCAATCTCTGCCCTCGGAATCAAGCCTAAATTGTGATACTTTAAAAAGAGAGCTACTGCCTGACCTGTACATGCATTCATCTAGTATCGGTAGGATACTTTGGAATCGAAACGGTGGCTCGTCATCCCCAAAAATTTCTTTTAGTTGTTCACGCATAACTTGAATTTCGAGATCCTAAAAAACAGGAAAGGTAATCTGATCTCAGGTGTCAATAAATTCTAGACAGGCGCTTAATTAGTCTCGGCTTTGGGCTACGCTTACCGTAAACATTTCAAATTCCGGGTATCGACTAGAATGATTCCCGGCCTGCGCCAAATCCTCGTTTCTCATCTCGAGATAGGCAACTTCATTGTCAGACAACTAAAATTGAATAATTAACCGTTTCTCCAAATAAGTAATACCGCAGACGTCTGCTTATCCCCGTAGAACTCTCGCATGAAGTGCATGTTTGGCGATTTCCCGAAGCGAGTCTCGTAGAGGTACTGAAAATCATTAAAATTTCACTACGAATTTTCTTCCCTTACCTTCATCTTGTCCTCAAAACTCTCTTTGATGAATGGTACGGCGGTTCTTAGGAAATTCAGCTCCCGAAATTGCTTGTAGTCCCAGGGTGAGGGGGCTATCGGCTCTTTGAAGCCCAAAGCACTATGCTGTAGTCTTAGGGCGCCTAATGGAGCATTATAAAAATTCTGGAATAAACACCTGTTTTTAAATTTTCGGTGAAATGCCGGTGCACGACATCAAGAAGGTTGTCGGAATGGTTTCTGCAATATGGATCGACATTAAGAAGTTGGGATTTACAATTCTAACTAACTACATATGATTATTACTTTAAAAAGTTACCAACCTGATGTAGTATATCTCATCAACATCCCCAACTACAGTGTAGTCGGTTTCCGACCAAATTGAGCAAAATAGTGTGGTCAAATGAACAGCGCCATGGTAGACATAATTATTTGGGTTTACCTTTTGGCTATAAGGCATCAAGGGGACAGGCCGGGTTTCGACGACGCCCTGAAAATATAATTAATCTGTTCTAAAGAAAAGTTTAGGCTAGGTTTACGCTATTCTACTCTTTAGGAGCTTACCTTTTTCACATAATAATCCAGCAATCTCTTCGTAGCAGTTGATACAGAATGTACGTGCATTAATATCTTCTTGGAACCGCTTTTCATCCAATACTCTATAAAAATCATCAGCCGTGGCCAATCGTTGTACCTAAATCAAAAATTTTATCTTGACGTATACGCGTTGGAAAATATACCAATATAACGGAGTCGAATTACATGGCGTAATCCCGGGCGAATAAGCGCTCGGAATTCGATGTAACCGAACCTTGGCAAATGATTGTTGTCGGAAGATGGTAATCTGACATTTAAGAAATGGATTTCAAAAAGAAATTTTTTCCAAACCGTTTGCGATGGTTTTCAAAGAATACGCTTGTCGACAGCTCCATTTCTGGCATTTTACAGTGGCCACCGATAAATCCAGGACAGTCGCTGCCTTAAAAATATCGCCAAATCGATCACAAAAATAAACGAAGATAAACTACGATTAAGAAAGATTGTGGAATTAGAAAAATAAAACGGAAAAAACCAATAACTTACTGCCAAGAACGTATATCCGCTCGATATTCAATGTCTTCCCATCAGCCAACACCACCAAAAAGTGCTCTGCCTTCAGTTTTTCACAATCTCCAGTGCCGATTATTCGAATTCGAGGCCCTGCAGGGTCTCTGGAGATCATAATATTATTGCAAGGCGGCATACTAATTACCTAGTTTCATAAAAGGCATAGTAGAACATCAACTCGTCTCCGGTGACCAAATCGGAGCTCATTTCCATATTTTCTGGAGTTTCCGGGCGGAAAATGTCATTGGTATAGTTATGGATCATATCTGAAGGGTAACCATTGTTGAATTAATGCTACAAAAAGCGTATGTATATTTATTTAGAACCACCTCTCAGATATTCATCCCTTCGCTCAACCTTTCGATTCAACTCGTTGTACTTGTTGTGATGTTGGTAGTGCGAATAAACCGAATCCTCTCGCCGCGTCTTCGAAAATACCCATAATAACAGGCCTATTTGAATAACAAAATAGACAACATGATGCCGCCGGACGGCCATTTTGAGGATTTGTCGCACTTTAACCTGCGAAGGAGCCGCCCTTGGGAGGTCTACCCGCGCGCCTCCCATCTGACCCGCTTGCGTAAGATCCGGGGGCCAGATAAACGCACCAAATAATTTCGATGTTCTTGCGGGGGGCGGCTCCGATTTAGTGTTGAATGTTAGGGCGAACTTGTCGAGCTTGAACGGGGAGCGCGTGGACCTCGGCACCTCGGCACCTCTAAAGGCGGACCAGATTTTGGAAATTGCGGAAATGGAAGAAGAGTCTGAGCTTGGAATAAAATTTTACTTTGATATTTTTCACACTAACAGAGACTACCAGACGACTTGATGCGCGGGCAGCCGTCCACTTTTTATGATAGCTCATCCCGGCAAAGCTATGAAAATTTAAAGATTTGGCCCGCAATAATTAGGTCCTACAATATTCCATTTCCTGGAACCCACCACCTGAAACGCCTGGTCATTAAAACTTCCTATTTTTGGAAAACAGAGCTCTTTTGGCATATAGACAACTACGCTGTAGCCGTCCACGTTTGGTTGGCGCTTCAAGGGGTTCCAGGGCCTACAAAAAGACACTAAAGCAGCTGGCCAGATCTTCGATACCAGCTGGAAATGAGCTTGTTTTGAACGGGGAACTTCCTGAATCGCAATAAACCATAGACGCTAGTCGGACCGCCTTTTTTAGGCTCCAGAACCAGAAGGCTAACGTGGGGTGCACTGGAAAAACGCTAGGGGAAGGCTAAAGCAGGATAAATCTTTTGGGAAATGACGACCACACTTTGGTAAACTCGAAACCGAAACCCAGTAATTTCCCTCAAATTCAACCAAAATTAGAATATGGAGGTCAAGGACCCTTTCCTAGTACGCGATGGGGTACCAACCAATCAGTGTGGTACTAAAGATCCGCTCTGGCGGGCAGCAAGATTCCCAGGATGAGAAAAGCTACACTCTCATAAAATTTACGTTCGATTTGGCAACAAATTCAGGGTCGGAAATTCCCATGGAACTACAGATGTATCCGTGTCAACAGACGCCAGTGGTCATCCGGGCATCGAGACGCTCGGTGGTTGTGCGCAGATCGTTAATTTTCACCCTCAAAATCTACTATCTCCCATTCTTTTTCGCTCACTCTCTCTCTCTCGCTGTCTGTCCCTCTCTCTCTACCATAGCTAGACCAAAAATCATCGTTCTCAATTAATACAGCTGACTATCACAATAATAAAATGCAAAACAAAGAAACTACCGTAGTCCGGCATGCGATGCGCTCATCGGGGCCAAAACCTAAAATGCTCGGGGGGCTGATTGCGAGCAAGAACCGATTCCGGTGAGGGTGGTGTGCCCCATGAGGTGAAGCCTGCATAAAAGCGCAATTGGGGAGGATAAATAACGACAACGATCTGCGACTGTTCTAGCCTTCGGATTCTTCAGTCTTTGAACCGTCCTGCCGGATTTTGACTAATTTGTAGTTGAGCATGTGTTGCAACCGTCTGGTCATCTTTGTTTCATGTAGCAGAGTAATCCATGCCCTTTGCAAAAATCCTGCATTCTACTACGCTATTTTCAGACACGACAATCAGCTGCCCCCACCCATTGTCTACCAAACCCCACATTGTCGTTGGGTTTTGGACTCTATTGATGATCTCTGGGCCGATTTAGCCTAGCGACCAAGGTGTGGTATATAAGTAAGCTTCTGGATTACTCCGTGATCTACCTTATGCCGGAGCGTCCAATTTGGTTACTTAGCATCCAGCGTAGTTTTGTAATCATTCTGACGGTTTCGGACTTGGTCTACCCTTGGAGCATGATTGAATGGAGTACGCAATGTTCTGCAGTTTGTTGCGGAACTGACGCCTCTGAACCCCAGGGACCATTGCCTGCACTTAGGCCATTACGAAAGCCGTTTTTAATATTCCAGACGGCAGCTGCATTACAGTATCCTCCATCCCAGAGGTCTATCAAAAGATCAAAAAGTTTTTTTAAGGAAAACCAGGATATAAGGATGTGTTTCTATGAATCGGGCACTATACCCGGTATAGCATGCCATAGTATTAACTGCGATTTGATTTGTTTCACTTTTCCCTGCGCTGATGGCACCTCTGAAAACAATACCTTTTCGGATTTGATTTGTAGATAAGGCTAAATTTCTAGGAATTTGACATTATACCGTAGCCTGAATTACGATTCGATTTTTTCGATTTTTCCAGAAGGTCCTTAGAACTCAAGACCTCGATCCTGAGCAAACTTCTTTACCGGAATCGAAATTTCCAAATTTCTGGGCGAACTTATTCTTCTTTCTGCCTGGTTTTTGCTTTTTGCGTAACCGTGCGTGACTTTGTTACCCGGCCCTCCTAAAATTTTGGACGCATTTTTGATGCCTTTATGGGAATCACGCCAAATTGAACAATCCGTTATTGGATTGGACAATCGCAAGAATCTTTCCCTTCTCAGCGGTCCATTGTCTTGAGCGGTATTAAAAGGTCGTGCCACATTGAGAAGTTTTCATACTGCACGCTCTCGCAAAAAGTTCTCCTTAACTCCGCAATGGGTCAAATCACGTCCAGTTTCGGCATGTCGGGCCTGTATTCGTACATTCGACATGGTGGTCCGGATCCGGAATGGTATTCGTGTGAGAATCATACATTGGGTGAGTCGGTAATGAGCTATTTCATACCGATTATACAATCATAGACTACTGGTACTCACACGGAATCCAGCGCCCGTTTTTTGCAATCTACTTCTTTGTTTCGGCGACGATCATGATTGTGAGTTCATATCTTGACTCTATGAAGGGCTTTTTAATACTTAACAACTTAGAATATTTGTTCATCTAAAGTTTGTTTTTGCGCAATTTTGATTGCAAATTTTCGAATTTTTGACAAAGACACTTGGTGGCGCTAGACCTACGATCAACTCTTACACCTTTCTCGGTGAAGTTCAAAGCCAGCGTCGAGTTCTCTCTACTAATTCTTCTAAGAACGTACGCAGAACTCGATACCTAGCGACTCCCACAAAAATTTGAAAATGTAGTCTGAAACGCTTGCTCTTTGGCTAGAAAACACCGTTCTCACGCGCGGTTTTCGTTCCTACAGGGATTAGTTCAAAAGGCAGTTTTAAAGATGATGGGCAAATTTGAAAATTGTTTCGAAAAGAGAAAGCTACGGTGAACTAACACCTGGAGTAAAGACAACATCGGTTATGGAATAGCGTACTATCAACTATAATAATTTTGCTGTAGGTTTGTCTGTGCGTCATGTCCCAGATTCAACTCGAAGGGGAAAGGAAATTGAAATTAACTTTGGAAGCTTTTTTCCTTAGTAAAAGGGGTGAGGGACGGAGGTTGGGGTGATTTTGGACATAGTGAGCCAGGCCGCGCGCGTTTCGGCGAGGGGGAGGGAGTGCAGGGGGGTAGCCCGAAGTCCAGCCGCTTGCAGCGGCGAAGTCGCTGGAAGCGGCTGGTTTGACACAAAACTCGTGATTATCGTAGCGTCTCAAGTTAGTACGTTCAGTTCATCTACGCCTCATGCCTGATCGGGATGATCACTAGCCGCCTGATCATCCAACACTCATGCTACAAAATCATGTTTACCATGGGGTTCTTCGACATTTTCTCCATCATCGTGAACTCCTACATCACTGGGTGGGTATTGCTGTAACAATTTTTGACTTTACAACATATCCCTAATTGGCTATAAGCTAGAAAAACAACTCAAGAGGTCTTTGAACTCTAAGCAATGAAGCTGTCAGCCTACGTGCTTCCGTGGTGTTTACGGTAGCATACGAATGTCCCGTGGGGTCTGAAACCGCTGGAAGACAGACATGGCAAACCACTACTCAGCTAGTCATAACAAAATAGATTTAGCAAAAAACCTCGGACAATCATCAGACTCCATACGTTCATTATGGAACGTGCCGTTGAAAATGCTTTGGGAAAAATTAAAAATGGCGAATCGAGGTTAAAGCGTTCAATTCTAGATATCTTTGTCTCAAGGGCGCCGTATTCTGCACACATCAACACTTGGTATTTCTTGGCGGTAGTATTGGAGTTGGTAAGCTAGAAGTTATGCATGTATACCTCAAATTGGCTTGTTTCAGGACTCTGGTCGGGTTCCTGTATCCTGGTCATTCTCCTGGCTCTCAACCGCTTCAGCGAGTTGTCCCAGAACCCGATCCTCATCGCTATTTTTCAGGTATCAAAATTGAGCACTATCATTTGCAGTGCACACGTTACAGTAGCCGTAGTATGGGAAGCCTGCAACAATCTAGTCTTACGGTATCCAATGACGGATCGTACGTCCACTAATCCTTCTCAACAATCCTTAGAAATGTAAATTTCATTAATCGCCCAGGTCTTCGGTCCACTAATTATACAATGAGACCAGCTCTAATCTATAGTGGAATCCGACACCGCCTCATACAATGTAGCCTGATCACTCATTTTTGAACCTAGTGGGACAATGGGCCAATTTTGCGTAATCCGGCGCAGCGGCCGAAAATAGATATTTTTTTTAGTCGTGAGCGCCAGTAGCGTAAAAACGAGGCACCAAGATTCAGCTCTGGGAAATTTTTTTCCAGAGAATAACGGGAGTTTCTAGAGAATTTTGGGGATTATCGGGTTAGGATAGCAAAAATAACCCTGGGAATGAAAATATGTCGGTCAGTAAGTATGGCTAGATGCCTGGATCACGACAGGGGTCGTCTAAAAGTGTCTAAATTAATTCATAAATTTGAAAAAGCTAAAAAACCTGTTGAATTCAATACCGACCTACTTCTAGGGTGATAGAGTTTACGGCACGCTCCTTCTGCCGATACTCTGGGGCTCGTTCATGGCCTTTTTCTCCCCTGCCGGCATGTTCACGTCGAACCAGCTCGCCTGGTTCTTCGACCCGTTTAATGGAAGCGGGGTAGATGCCTAACCTGGTTTTAAGTCAGTGATTGAATTCAGAAAGTCTACACCAACATCCCGCACACTATCAACAATTGCGTCGTGGCGATTCTGGCGACAATCGCGTACATCAAGATTTGTGTGAAAATGGCGCAGAAGACCTCGTTTTCGAAGGAAGCTTTTAGCAAGGTGCAACGACAGGTGCAAAAACTCCTAGGAATGTTTAAGAGCTTGCTTAAGCTTTTCCTCCAATCAACCCTGATCTGCTCTATCCATGCGATTGCTTCCTACGGGTATGTGGTGATGAATTTCTGGGCCGGATTTCCGGTCGAGCTGATCATGGTCGGGCATGTCGCTTGGCAGTGGAGTAATGGTAGGTTTTAGAAGATGATCGATTTGTTACTTTGGTAAGATAAAAACCTGCATTTGCTTGAGAATATGAGCGTAACCTATTTTATTAGGTTCCCCCGGAATCGTCTACATCCTACTCAACCGTAAGGTCCGCGCGGCCGTCTTCAGAAACTTTGGTGTGCGCTCATTGGCCGTTTATAACACAACTACCGGCCGTCCTTCGCATCTTTCTGGAGATCTCAGCTCTCAGAAGGCCTCAAAGCATTAATGCCATACCAAAACTTCAACGTTTTCTATACTAAAACACGCCCAACACTTTTTATCTTTGTGAATCAAACGGAATCAAAACCCGCGTTTTTTACTAGTTATGGTCTAATTCCGATTCACCATACTCCATCAATATCCGATCGCCAATTCTCATCCAAAATAATAACCATGTATCTCTGTCATTCGATCTCCGCTGTATCCAAGAATCCAGTTCTGTCTGTCCTTTCTTAAATGTGTGATTTTTATATCCATATCCACTGCATTTTCATCGTATCGTGCAATAAAAACAGTATACGGACAAAAGAGTTTATTTCTGGGTTTTGATATGGCAAAAGTTGTCTCCAAAAGTGTCGTCGAAACTCCATCAGCTTTCGGCTTCATCTCGGGCAAACGTCGAGCCGGGCAAGCATTTTGACCTACGAATTTGGAATTCCATTTGTGCCCGGGGCGAACGTTGAAATTCTCGAAAATCGTCAAAAACCAGCAAAAGCGGCACAAATGGGAAATTTTGACTAGGGCAAAAGTATCCTTGTTTTTCAGTCAATTATGGCAAAAGGAGGAAAGCTTTCGAAATTGTTGCAAAGGTGGTAATCCTAGGTCCTACCTACCCTAAACTAAATCAGCTAATAGTCAAGTGACTATATGAAGGTGTGGCTCGAGTTTAGTACGTCAAAAATACTAAATTAGGAAGCATTATATAACAAAATTGCCACTCAATTGCTACGCTTATACTCCAATATAAATATTTTTCATAGATTCCGATCAAATTATACCTGTCAGGTCAGTAAAAATTCATTGAAATATTCCCTACGATACCCTATAAAAACTACTAGCGGTCTTTGAAAAAATAGAGAGCATCGGAAAAAATAAGTACATTAAATTTTTTTACTACTAACACCTCGCTGATTTTAAAAACGAAAATAAAATCTAAGCAGACACGAATGTAAAACTGCCATATAGTCAAGTGCCCTATTACCACTTTTTTCCTAATTAAGGACTTTACACACCTTCGCACTAAATTATACCCGTACGTGTCATTTCACCGCCTACAAAGCATAACAAATAACAGATTGGCTACCTTACTCCCATAGATACTCCTAATACCTAGGCCATAACATACACTCAAAAACGGCCAAAACAGGGACAGTTCGTCGGCGCATTTATAGGAGCGAAAAAGGAATAATCCCAAGACACTACGTTTAGCACCTGTGCACGAAAACGGAATTTTCAGTCCAAAAGACGTTCGGGGGTGGATTGGCAAGCCACATTGATCGGGAAAAAAATTAAAAAACACCGCTCCGCCCAGAATCAAAAAATTGCCGCATAAAACCACACTAAAAATTGGCCATGCTGGTTGGGCGAAATTAGAGAGAAAAAAAAGTATGAAGGCTGGCAGCTCCTAAGCTTAAGCCATTAGGGGGTAAATGCCGAATTTCAAGGGGGTAAAATTGCTCGTTGTTCGGTGCGAGTGGGAAACGGGCAGCTTACGGTGAGGAATTACCGAGGGTTGTAAATTTTTTATTCTAGTTCGGACGGACAAGGGGTTTTTACAACGACATTTACCAATTATTGTATTGAGTATTAATTATTTTTTTTTGCCTTTTAGGGTTTATTAAATGATTCGCTGTTTTAAAGAGTAGAGAATGGGGAATTAAGTTGTTTGGGCCTTTTGATACCTTCATATACACATTTTTCTTTTTAAATCTTTGACATACAGATTTTTCAAAATTGTAGATTTTCGTTTGCGATAAATTATCAGTTATTATACCTTTGTGGTCAAGTAACATTGCTTTGAATCTTTGGAATGGAATTCTGATTTGGTGTTTAGCGTTTAGATTTAAAGGGAATTATACCATTCAGCTTTAGGAAATTTGCATAAGTTTTTCATTAAAAATTTTATATTTATCTTTTTGGAACAATTGAGTTTAATAAAGTCGGGGTTTGGATCTTAATTGGAAAAAGGGCTTGTTTGGTGTCTTTTCTTCGAAATATAGTAATTTCTTGGTATAGATATTTTTAGCTTGACTTAAAGGTAGGTGTTGACGCTATTTTAGGGGGTGAGAAGTTTTGCTTAAAAAAAGCTATTTTAAAAGTAAATAGCGCTACTCTAACGCGTTACCATAATCCGAGCTCCACCGCGCTCCAAAAGACGCAGAATCTCTCTCAAAAACACGACAACCGGCTATCGACACTAGGCTAGTTACCGTAACCCTCCAATCTACGCATAACGCAACAACCACTGTACCTGTTCTCACTCACTTATTTCTCTTGGGGGTATTTACAACATCTCATTAGCTTAATATCTATATAATATTCCACACAATTACTATAATAGACGGGACCCGCAAGTGCATCTAATGCGGGTTGTCCCACTACTTGTGTGTACCTCAGTCAAGTTCAGCTACGCGACGATACTATCGCGACTAGGGGTCCATTAATGTGTAGAGAGATGGCTATAACTAGCGGCTACGACTAAACGGTGACCGGCCAGGCCTGCCGCGGGTCCTCAGTTAACTCATATCACCTATCGGCTAACATACACTCGATTTTCGGGCCTGTTTAGCGGTGAGGGCCCTCTGGCTCGCCTCGGCTTAGTCACAACTGCCTAGACTACAACTAAACTACAGCTGGCCAAGCCATTTAAGATGACTTTAGAACGGCGAGCAACGAGAATTTGCGTGGAGGCGGTGGGGCCGAAATCTGGGCGCTTTTCCTAGGGGGATATTTGGTGAGGTTTCGAAATTCTGATTAATCTTCTGATTTCTGCTTTTAACAATTAGTATACTGGGATACCTTAAGTTTAAAGGTATGTTTTCTCAATTGATTTTTGGTCTTGACCGGGACGTGGGCTTATTATTATTATTGAGGCTTACACCTTCATGATTTGGATTACTATTAAGATTATTACTTATTAGAGGAGGATTTATTACACTTTATTAAGTATTATTTCATTACTATTATTATTATTACTTATTATATTCTTTTAGATTATTACGTTTATTAAATCATCACAATTATTAGCATAAAGAGGGTAGTCGAAATTGGTCACTTTTGAAATGTGTTGAATTTAAATCTCATTTTCTTGGGGTCTATGGGCTTTACAAGGTAATTTTCGCGGATTTTAAGGATTCATTAACAATTCTTTGCAATAGTTTGGCTTTTTGATTTTTCATAATTGTTTAATTATCGGGATCTGGTTTAATAAGTGTGGTAGGAAATGTTTCATAACTTGGTTTGTAATGGGTTTAAGTTTGTTTTACCTTTTCTACAATTTTGATTTTTATATAACCATATTTCCTACAAATGTGCAAAGGGAGCTCATCCCCAGAAAGCTAAGGGCACGACAATTCATATCAATCCAAAGAGAACCACATGCTAACCCGCCCAAAACAACGGTAATGCTTGGTGCTTGAGAAAATCAGGTAGGAGCCAGAGATAAATTCCCGATGGTTAGATGTCCACAAAACATGTCAGTTCCATTTCCACAGAGGGACACGATAGAACACAAAAGCACGGGGATATTGTGTGCTGGTGGACGGACAGGTTAGAAGGCAACAATAATTCTTATAGATGCAAATTGGCGTAGGGCCTAAAGCTGTAGATAATCTTGATGTATAGTGGTAACCTTTAGGGTAATTAATTCATAATGACACTTTGCGGTGTATCAATTCACATAAATATATCGGAAACCTGGGGCTGAGAGACCGGCTTGAGGTTTATTTTGGGCTTAATATTTGAGTGGTAGGGAGGGGTCAAAGGAAGTCATGAAAATTGAAGAATTTTAGGTTTATGAATTGGTTTTGTATTTGAATATTAGCTTTATAGATTGGGAAGAGTTCTTGCGTTTTACAATTTTTTTGCCTGGCTGAGTCAACTGTGGTTATCGGGGGGCGTGGTTTGGGGAAATTGATAAGTAACTAAGATGGGCTGGTTTTCATTTTAAATCCGAGAAAAGCGGAATCCTAATGGCATTGAAGCCTTTGCTCGAAAAATGGCGCTATGCATTTCGGTCATTTGTCTGGGTATTGCGGTACCGGCTTTATAGCTAGCTTGTTTAGCTCTATGATCTTGTTTAAAATATAATCTTGATATAATCTTGTTTAAGCTGAGTTCTATGGCTCGAGAGTACTGATTGATTCTTTACAGCTGTAAAATAGAGAGGAATGCTTCTTTGGCATATTTGGTTTGTGGGGGGTCTTTGGCATAATTTCTAGGAAAATAGTGATTGGAAACAAGTCATAAATGGTGGTCAAGGGTTGTGTATTGGGTTTAAGCTTATTATCCCCAATTTTAATCTGATTTGATGTTAGATTCTCTTGGAATTAATTGCTCGCCACTTTTGGTTTCAATGGTTTGGTTTATACTGGATTTATTGAGGATCACCTATCATGTTTGGGAAGGAATGAAAGATCTTGAGAGGGATTGGTATAATTGAGGGTGTGGTTGGTATCAGGGACAGACAACTAACTTTGTCATTTTCACACAATAATTCTTCCTGAAGCGTCTGGATTACATTTTCGTTAAAATTAAATTAAATTTCATGACATTAAAATTGTAATGAACTTTGAAATCGTCAAATGTTTGCGATAATTGAGTTTATTCAGCGGTTTTGCTTTAATATTTTGAGTGGTTTCTGGTTTCGTTTGGGATTTTTACATAAATGGTCCTAGAGGTTTGGCCGGAGTTGGGGGCGTGCCAGTAATAATTGCTTGGAAGAATTCAAATACTGGTTTGGGTCCAGAAGAACGGCTTTTGGTTTGTGGTCTGGGTCTTGATAATTGATTGAGTCATACTTTAGAAAGTTGTATTTAAATGGGGTTTTCATGGGGTAAATTGACTAGTTTGAGCATTATACAATGAAAATTGGGCAAACTACCTTTAGCCATTGAAATCATTTTAATGTTAATTAAAATTAGAATTAATTAATTTACAGGCAAATTTGAGTTGGTAGGTTTAGGCTTTTCTACAGGATTTGGCCGGAATTGGGGGCGTGCCAAT